ACAGCTATACCCATCAAATTGGATGGGGTTATTCTGCGGAATAACTTCGTAGTCGCGTAGTCCACTAATTTCAGCTGTGTAGCGATTGCTTGGGCTGCCTTCATGTATGGACCTTGGTTCAGCGGGTCATAGAAGAAGATGCGCTTGGCGTGAGCCTTAACCACAATACAGCACCAGTGAAAATTCATGAAGTTGAGAGGGAGGAGGACAGTATCAACCTGCTCGAGAATACGGTCCCGAACGTGCGCATCCACGGGCGTCTCTTCACTGTTATGCATTCTCTTTGTCCTCAGTTGGGCGCTCTGGAACCCCGCAAATCTACATCCAATGAAATCACTGGCTAGACGTTCGCAACAGGCTTGAATGGCTGCATCCGTAAGCCATGTCAGTGGTGTGGCTCGATACAAAATCGAGTATGTATACTCCGGTAGATTAGAGAGACCATTGATCCGCTTGTACGGGAATGTAGCCATAACTTCACTCGCCACCTTCCTGGCTGATTCGTGATACTCTGCTGGTAGCGATGGCATACCCTTCTCCAACAGCCATTTGTGCATGTCAAGCCCGAGCTGCACAACTTCTTTCAAATTTTGAACCCTTCTGCAGGTCTCGATCTGATTTCTCGAAAAAGTACCCACGTTTTTAATCTGCACACACTCAATTAGGTCGTCCGTAGACTTGTGCTTCGTTGGGGGTATTGTCATCCACAGATATGGCGCTTGCACGCGTGTTCGAGATCGGCAGGACCTTCAAGCACGCGTCGAGAAGCTTCACAGGAAGAATGTAGAAAGCGTCCATGATTAAAACAGGATTCTTATGTCGTTTAAACTTCGGTTTTTTCCTCCGCGTCTTTGTCTTTCACCATCACCCCGGACAATCGGCGCTGTGTGTCTGCAACGGTAGGTTGTTCACATTCTAACGCGTTTAACAGGCCTTGTAGCGTAACTTCTCCTGCGATTTTTCGGCCTTTCTCCAGAGCTTTGAATCACTTTCTGTCAACCTTTTCGTCTGCGACCATTTTTGCCTTGACTTTCTTCGGAGCCCCCACCTTCTTTGCTTTGGGGTTAAGTCGGATTGTCGCTTCAGAATGCTCATCAACATCTCCACTCGAAACTCCGTCACCGTCTTCATCATCCCCGCTACTACTAATTCCAAACTCTCATTTCACATCTGCCTCGTCATCAATTGCCGTAGGCGCAACCTTACGTTGGTGCACGTTTCTCCATTGGTTCAGGATAAAATCGAGCATTTCCTTGAACTCCTCCTCATCTTCAACATCCGCGAGCTCGTTAGCGATTAGATGTGTCGCCCTAACAGCCTGTCTGTATCGCTCCGATTGTGATCATACTGCCCGCGTTTTTGAGTGAGAGGCATGGCGATCGAACCTCTCGTACGCGAACTGGTGAACCTTGCTCAGTTTTTGCGCTGGGGTAGCCCATCTAAAAATAACGCATTTACATCCTGGTTAAATCCTGTCATAATCCTGTGTAAATCTGCTCGAAACGTACCTCTCATCTATGCAATTCAACGGGATCAAATGATCCTCCAACACCTTCTCGCTTTCGATAAGCGATGGAGTATTCAACACCAAGCTGAGTCTGCTGGCAGTCGTGCAGCTGCAATCTTCGTTCGACTTCAAGACCAAGCGCTGAGCTCAGTGGCCAGTGGCACTGGGGTTTGAGGGAGACGGACGTGAAGTGAAAGCAGCCAGGAGGATGCAAGCTTGTAAAGCGCAAGACTCTCAAGAGGGAAAATCCTGTACTGAGCAGTCATTTCGTAATTTTTCAATTCATTCTGCTTTTCGCTTTGTTTACCAGAATTGCGAAACAACAGCCGTTGCGACTATTGCGAAGAATTTCGTTGCTAGACGAATTCAATCGGTATACTGGAAGTTCGTCCACTCTGAAGGCCGCATAGGTGCTACGCACCAGTTATACGGCGCAAAACAACCTCAGCCTTAATCAGAACCAGCTACCTTGTTTGCTAGAGCTCTGTGGTTTGTCTGATGAATGAGTACATACCTAAAACCACAGCCTACCTAACGCCATAGCATGTACCCTTACGACCTCCAACAACTATGACCAGTAAATAAAGCTGCGATATACCGTATACTTTCTACTCAAACCAGGTACCATTTCGATCCAGGTATACGTAGCTGTTGTTACTGTCCGAGAAAACGACAATTACAATGTTGATATTGTACCATCATTCTTCATTCCGCCGTTAATGCGCTAGCAATGGCTTCTGGTACGTTTGGGTAACACTTCAGGTATTGTTTTGGAATGGAGAAGTACTTTGCTGCTAGTGATTTCATTTTCTTGGTTGAAAGTTTTTTGTGGGGTGTTTTGGTAGCTGGACACCAGAGAGTGAGGCTTCCCAAATGGTGGGGATGTTGGATCCAAACAACTCCAATATTAGTGCCTTACGGACGCTAGGATGTTACTCGGGTCCATCATAGGAAAAATAATAGCCTCGTCGTCAGGTGTGTCAACCGTCTTTCGAGCTGTGCATACTCCATCTCAAATAGATAGTTTGCTGTATAACCCGCAGGAGGTGGTGAAAAATATTTAGCTAGAAGCTCACCCCAGCCAACAAAAAATGGACGATCTGCGGCGTTGTGGTCAATAAAGACTCCTTTCACACTCTTTACCTCGTTCATTGAAATTGTACCATCATTATTCAGCTGCAACGAAAAAGCAAAACAAAAAACTTTCTTTCTCTCCACTTTGGGAAAAATTTGGAGAACCCCTATTGATAAAATGCGAATTGATATTATATTATCTTTGCTGACAACGGAGATTAATCGGATAGTACTCTATTTTAATACTTATTTCAGCAAAATGAGATATAGCAATAGTACTCCAAATAGTACTGTCACCGAAGTGGTATTCCCCCCAAAAGGAATAACACTTTGCATTTTGATTGGCTAAAATTCGCAAACGTCGGTTTCCTCCGTCATAGACAGAAATTCGACTCCATGGCGCCTAGTAAACGGATGGAGATACTGGCGGCGGATCTGGAGCAGCAGCTACGCGAGGATCAGCTGCGCGAGGGCGACGACTGGTTCCTTGTCTCCTCGGCTTGGTGGACGCGCGTGCTTGGTGCGTCTACCAGCGACGATACGGACGATGACGCGGACGACTCGGACGACGCCTTACCGCGCGGAAACAGCGAGCTACGGGTCCACAACGCTCCGTTACTGGAGCTAGAACTCAGTAGTCAGAAGCGCGAGGTCACTGTGCTTAAACCCATGCTGGTACGAGGTACAACAGAGCTGTAGAGCCCGGGCTACCCTGTTTAACGTTGTTACTTTGGATATATGCAGGTAGAGGGCAGGGACTACCGCCTGGTGAGCCAAAGAGTGTGGAACCAACTATCGGACCGCTTCGGTTTCGACTGGGAGATCTCAAGGCCTGTGATAACGCGCGGACCTGCCAAAAACCGGATTGTGGAGGTGAATCCTGTCATTTTCGAGGTAATTATTTACTTACATATAGTAGAACGAGGGTTCAGCCTGCTGATATATTTATTTATGATAGGTGCTGGGGTGGCGTACGGGGCTGGAAAAGCCCGCGGAGCTGATAGATGCCGAGCAGAAGCCCCTAATACTGACTGCAAGTGAGAAATGCTCGCTTAAGGAGCTGCAACTGAAGATCTGGAAGGCGGCAGCTGAGCCACAGCTCCGAGAAATGTTCCCAGATGTTACACAGGATAACGTGAGCCTGGCAGTGCAAGTATGTTACAGGATCGACGAGGATTCGTCCTGGACGCCACTTAGAGACGCCGTGGTGAAGGAGGAACGCCCGACTAACGGGTTTACCAGCTCTGGAGATCCAGACATCCTCGTTGAGAGCACTACAGTGGGTGAATTGCAGCTGGAACAACGCGATTATAAGCCTGGGAAGGAGAAACTGCACCATTTACTCGTCGAAGGGAGGTTTGTTGCTCAACAAGGGCACGACTGGAGACAGGGGAAGTTCTACAGCGAAATTCAGGCCGAAGCTTGGAGGTTTACACTGCAGAAGGACCAGCTGATCGACGCTCTGGATACAGACAAGAAATGGTACGAATCTCGCGTGGTGGACTTGACGGAGGCTCAAGTTAAAGTGCATTATCGAGGCTGGACAGCCAAGTGGGATGAGTGGATCAATCGCACGTCCTCTCGACTAGCTCCACTGCACACGAAGGTCCGGAATTGGCGCGATTTTCAGCTTAATGACGAGATCCTCGTGGGCAGAGTAGTGAATGGGAAAAGCTACCCAGAATGGCGCATAGCGCGTGTCACGGACTTAGAGAAGAACGAGATGGACGATTCACTAAGGATCGAGCTCGAAATGAGTGGCAATAAGCAGTGGATGGACGCTCAAGACGAAATGCTGTGTCCTGTAGGCACCCACAAGGCGGTTAACGCGTCAACTGTCGTCACCTCCCCCGTGTCCTCGTATTCTCCGGCGCATTCTTACAGATACGGACGGGACTTTGAAGCAGGGCGAGGTCGTCCAGAGTTTGAAGGAGTCGTGGGGCTTTCAAACCTGGGAAACACGTGCTTTATGAACAGTATGCTGCAGTGCTTGATCAATACTGCGCCTCTGAGAGAATATTTTCTCAAAAAGGATCCAGAAACCGGCGGTTTGTTCTTCTCGAAGGAAATTAACAGAGACAATCCGCTGGGTATGAAAGGCATCATGGCGGTCGAGTTCGCCAGTCTGTTGCGCAAGATGTGGAGCAATGAGTACAAAGTGGTGACCCCCACGAAGCTCAAATCGGTGATTGGTCAATACGCGCCGCAGTTCGCTGGATATCAGCAACAAGACAGCCAAGAACTCATGAATTTCCTGCTCGATGGACTCCACGAAGACCTCAATCGCGTCAAGTCCAAGCCGTACACTAAACCAGTTGAACGCAATGGTCGCAGTGATCCGGAGGTGGCACGAGAAGAGTGGCAGCAGTTTCTGCGTCGTAACGACAGTATCATCGTGGACAACTTCATGGGCCAACTACGAAGCCATGTGACGTGTTCAGACCCGGAGTGTGGCAACGAATCGATCACTTTCGACCCGTATATGAACCTGTCCGTGCCGATCCCGAACAACGAGACTGTGAGCGTACAAGTCCAGCTCTTCTGGGCCAATGGAGACATCCCAATGAAGTACGCTTTGCGTCTTCCCAAAGACGCTTGCAGCTTACAAGATGCAAAAGAGAAACTCAGCGAACTATCGGGTATTCCTACCTCACGGATCTTCTTCGTCGAGGTATGGAATCACCGTATTATCAAGGCCTATTCGGACAGATTCTCAGTTGAACGAGTGCGTGAAGACGTCCTTCATGCATACGAACTGGAGCTGCCGGTGACGGAGTACTCGTTCTCGTCTCCCACTATCCGTCCTCCTGGCCCAAGGAAGTTAGGTACAATGGAATCCGAGCCAGAGCCCAAGCAAATGCATCTCGTGGAATTGCTGCATCAAGCTCCTGTTGCGTCGCCGGTGGACGGACGAGCTCATTCCGAGGGCTACGATATGCTGGTGGAGGATGGTTATGGCCCTAAACAACGTCGAGTGGAGGTGGAGCTCTTCAATACGCCGCTTCTGGTATCAATCGACCGGAAATGGACGAAAACGGAGATCCATGAGAAAGTCTGGCAAGTTGTACATCGTCTTGTGGCCACGGAGGAGGCAGATAAGGAGTCCAACACGAGTTTTGGATGCCGCAGTGACCAGCGGTTGCCCTACCGTCTTCACGTGACTGAACCTAACGGAGGAACGACGTTTATTAGCGACTTACCACGCGATGGCGAGCCTGTGGACGTCTCTGGCAACACGAAAAGACCATTCAGCTTTACTCTCGAGTGGAAACGCAATGGGTACGTCTACAATTTATGTTATGCTCGCAGTTAAGAGCTGTAATTCTAATCATATTCATGTACAGATACCAACGAGGCTACGACGAGACTTCAGCCAAGCGTATCGAGCTCCACGAGTCGATGAAGAATCTCGAAATCTCGTCGAAACCAGCGCGTCTCACGCTGTTCGACTGCTTAACCAAGTTCACGGAGCGCGAGCAGCTTGGAGAAGCCGATACCTGGTACTGTCCCAAGTGCAAGAACCACGTGCGCGCGTTCAAAAAGTTCGACTTGTTCTCGCTCCCCAAGGTGCTGATCTTCCACCTCAAGCGCTTCCGGTACGCACAGAATTCCTTCTACATGCACCGAGACAAGATCTCGACGCTGGTCGATTTCCCCATCGAAAGTCTGGACCTGTCGGAGTTCGTGGTCGGACCAGGGAACGGGTCAGAGCCCATTTACGATCTCTACGCCGTCTCTGAACACATGGGGGGTCTTGGAGGTGGACACTACACCGCTGTGGCGAAGAACCCGGTCATCAAGCGCTGGTTTGACTTCAACGACAGCCATACCAGTACTACAACAGCAGAAGATGCGGTCTCGCCCAAAGCGTACGTGTTGTTCTACATCCGTCGTGACCAGGCTTAAGGGCGTCGATCCAGAAATTAGAAACATCGATCGGGTGAGCTTTACTTGCCTCGCTTTGCTGCTCGCAGGTTCGTGTTTTGAGTTACTTGGGTCTCTTTTGGGTGCTTCAGGAACGGAGTTTTACGGTGATTTCAATGGGGCAAACCGGTAGTGGGATGTTCTGTTCGGAGAGCTAGGACAGACAGGCAACAAGTGAACATCTTGAGGAGGGAGGCGACGCAGACCACTCAGCAACGCTGCAATTCTCGAGTCGTCCATGTCTTCATCTACGAGTTGTTTCTGGTCGACTGAGACGAAGCGCAGTTGGTCATGAAGGTCGATGATCCCGCTGAAAGGCAGCACGCGACTCAAGAACTGGGCTTCGACTTCTGCACAGGACGAGGCTCTTGTGGTCGGTCGTTTACGGGGCGATGGTGGTCTTCTGTGCTCACGATTGTCTGTAGTTGCTGGTCTCGCGAGCTCATGTAACCTTGAGACGGGGATATCTGGCATGGTTGTTTCGCGTACGAGGAGATGTGGGAAGACGATACTCTTGTTCCTCGAGTGTTTCGAAGGACTGACGGGGCCATGGTGATCAATTGCGCTGGATTGGTGTGCAAGTGCTCTGTCGATATGAAAGCGTTGAGTGAACTCTCGAAGTCTCTGAAAGTGTTCATTCATAAGCGCTCGCACGACGTCTTGCAGTGGAGAGAGGAAGGACGCGATGGTGTCTTTACGAACACAGAGCAACGAACAAGTATCCAGTGCGATGATATCCCAAGGAGCTAGTGATGCTGTCGTTGCGAGCGCTCCTTCTTGGCCGAAAATGGCTGGAGCTTGAACAACAGCGACGATAGGCTTGTCGTTTGGCTTGGAGACTTTGACGCTGCCTTGAATTAGTAGAACGAGCACAGTGATCTCCTCTCCACGACTGATAATTTGTCGACCTTGTCGTGCTGTGAGGGACTTGGCAGCGTATGCGAGATGAGTGATGATGTGCGGCGGTAGAGCGTGTAGTCTTGGGATCGATGCGATGGCCTTCTCAGTGGCTCGTAAGACTACTTGTTTGTATGGTTTAATGGCACGTCGATATAGATCTCCAGAGACAACGGCGAGCTCCGTCCATGCAGTGCAGAACGTGGCACAGGCGCTAGCTGTACGGAGACCTTGCGGCTCAATGAGACTGATCTCTCCGAAACAAGAACCTGGTGTGAGTGTACGAAAGAACCCCGTGTTGTACGCTGCTAAAGACACACAACCAGTTATGAGGACGTAGAAACAGTCGCCTGTTTCTCCCTGACGGAACACGAAGTCTCCACATTTTACACGCATGTAGGTGCTCGTACGTGCGAGTTCTTGGAAAATCGAGTCGGGAAGTTGAGCGTCCGCGAAATATTTGAGACTTGCGAACCATTTCTTGAGATTGCGGAGATCTGCAGACGAACGATGAGCTGGAGGACGATGCAGGCGAGACTGAACGCCGTGAGTTTTTGCAAGCGCTAGGAGAGTCGATACGTGATCAGAGCTGCTGGCTTGAAGCACGTATGAAGAGGGTCTTGTATCATCTGAATTTGACGGTGCTGTGGGCGTTTGGCTGTCCCAGAAGGAGGCATGTTGACGCCAAACGCGGCGATGAGTTCGTTGCTCCTGCTTCCGGTCGAGTATTGTGAGGTATGTGATGGCGTGGATGATTCGTTGCAATACGACACGCAAAGGTGGTAGTTTAGCGGGGATTTCGACGATCTGGTAGTCTTCTAGTTTTGACGATGGGCTTGGAAATCGGATGGTACGGATTGTAGAGAAGACGTCGCCGATACGACGGAAACGCGGCGATATCCGCACGGTTACAACGCTTTTATCTTGTAATCCGTAGTCGATGACTTCGTCGTCACCTTCGAGTTGTTCGTCGTGGAAAAAGAGTCGCTGCTGCTCGAATGGAACTCCGAAGTGACGCTGTAGCGCTGCCTGCATACACATTAGAGACTGCGAGCGATGGACAGACAACTTCCCGAGTGCTGACCGACCAGGAAGATGGAAATACACGTCGAAGCAGAGATCGCTGGAAAGGTTCTGCCAAAGTGGTAAAGGTTGGGGCCTTGTCGAGATTTTCCTTCGTTGCGCCGCGCCAGCCATAGCGGCCACGGACGCTGGTTGGGCGAGTCGTGGAGCAAATCCAGGTGGTTTTACTAGCCCCAGTTGCTCCGTCAAGGAGCGCTGGCGGTCTGGGTGTGCCATCTTGACAACGTGGAGCTTAGCTGTAGGTTAACGCTATGGTATTAAGCAGCAGCCCAGAGAGACACCATGAGCGTATTTTTACATGTAGGGGGCGATCAATTAGACCAAAATACTCAGATTAGAGTCCTAATAGGCCTCAAATCATGCAAATTTGGTGATAAAATAACAAGAAGCGCAGGATTCTTCGTACGTTTCTCCATTGGCTACAAGCATTCTTGATATTCCAGCGACCTTGCCACGTCGCTCGGTAGGTGCTGCTTTGCTTGCGCAGATTTGCTTAGATTGCTAGTGACACCAAAACGGAGAGGTGCTAAATAATGCATGCTTTTCCTGTAATAATCCTTTTAAATGCAAGTGAAAAAGGCGATGTTTTCGATGTTAAGAAACGCACGTTGTGCGAATTACTCGTTTTTTTTTACTACTACTACTGTGCGACTCATGACTGTTGTCCTGCTACAATACAACTTGTATTGTTGAGACTGTGAAGAAATCGACGAATCTTCACAGTCTCAACCACCCTGATTAATTTGTACGCCATAGCCAGAAACACAACGCCTAATTTATCCTCTAGACAGCAGAGACACCTCTAAGATTCCCGCAGCAGGCACAAATGCAGACCTCGTTCGAGCAGAGAGGAGCGCGTCCCAAAGAACAATAAATTCTTCGTCAATGTGAAATTGCAATGAAGCTCGTTCATCAACGCGCCAAGCCGAACCAAGTCGTCGTAGCAACGGTTTGGTCTTTCTCCTTGGCCACAATACTAGACTCGCGCGATGTTCACAAGAATCCACCGCCTCGACATGTTCGGGTCCTTCACCAAATTCTCCAGCGAATATCGCCATGATAGCAGCCACTCTCGCTCCACAGCTTCAATACATCAAGTATGTGACGAAGCCACGAGCACACGACAGCCGTGCCGTCGATAGAACCCGGCCTAACACAGGAGTACCACAATTTTTCGAGACCCGAAGTTGTCTTTCTCAATTCCGTGACCCTCTTCGTGAGAGGCTCACTTATTTATGGGATTGATAGCATAGCATAAATATTGGAGCAAAATACAATTCGAAAAAGTGATCTACATACAAAATCCAGAAAGGCAGACCTATTCAAAACTAGGTACCAAAAAACTATTATGAGCAGAAAGAAAGGGAGCAATTCACGACAGCAAAGGAGTTGAAAAGGGAAAATCTGGTGTGTTACAATTAAAAAATAGTACAAAAAGGATAGAACAAAAACAAATTTGGTCAGAGCAAAACCTTTTTTGAAACGTGTAAAAGACAATTTTATAAAGATGTTTTGCATAACAAAATGGATACATACACGCAACATTTGATAAAATATATACGTACGTATGAGATCAAGTGTCGTATATAACCAATGCCTGAAGGCTACGGGTGGTGGTAGGGGTATTAACCGTGAAATGGTGTGGGTTTTATGGGGTAATGTTGCACGAATATACTGGTTAATACTTCGTGTAGTATTAGTAAATAACTGTATCATTTTCTAGAAATATTCGAATATAATATCGTATTGACAGTTTTATATAAAATGTTATACGATCTTGTGGATTGTGATGATATTCAATTTATGGAACCTTTTCTTAGTATGGCTTACGCCTTGCAAAACTCCAAGTTCTCGGAGGAAGGTAATTCTGAAGGTAAGACACTTCTGATGACTCACTTTGTTGATGGTCCGAGTTTCTACGGAGAATATCGTGGAATGGAGGGAGTTGTGGAGCAGGAGTAGATGCAGCTTCCGATGGAGCCGTGCTAGAAACAAGCAGTTCCACAAAATTCGACTGTGGAACCGGACTTGGGGCTGGGTTGTTTCGATCAACTCATTCACTGTAGGTAGGATCCTGCGCTGTACCAGACTGGCCATGGTTTTTCTTGTGGGTCTTTCGCCTTTTGGAGCCATTCTTGGGTCTTAGAGGAGCAGGTTCTATCACACATGACCCATAATTTTCGGTGTGGCCGCTGCGAGTTTGCCAGTGTGCATGGAAATGTTGGGTCTGGAGCTTATGCTGCCTATCTGACTTGATTATGTTAATAATATCGTGCAGACGTGGCCTCCATAGGAAACTTTCTTAACCCTTTTGTGGTCAATGGGGCATTTTCCCCCTTTGGAGGGCATATCCTTAAGTACCACTCGTGTCATCCACGAATGGGGTCAAAATGCACCCTTTCATTATTTTTGTGCGTGGACGAGGCGGATTCGCCCTTTCTACTTGAACTACAAGAATTTGCAAAAGATTTGATGTAGTACCGTAGTTTATGAAAGGGGGGAAATGCCCCTTTTATGGCCTAATGACTTGACCTTCTATACTATAATATAGCCAGTCAAAAGTACCCGTTCACGAAAGGGTTAATACACGAAACCCACCACGGAAGCAATTTCTTGAATACCGTTAAAAGGTCACCTCTAGAAGACTCTAACCAACACTTACATTTGGCGAGTGTACTCTCGACCGGAGAGGTATCCCGGTACCCGAAATGCAAGTATTGCAAGGTCCAGCAATGGACCAATTTGGTTTTGTACTTCCAATCAAAATATTAAATGAAGCCACCACAACCTCTGGGGAAACACCAACAGCAGCCTGAGATGCAACCAAATCTGCTGCTGAGAGACCGACAGACGTAATTCGCTGCATGTCTCTACGTCTGTGGTCTGGGTGAACACTTGAAGCTGGGTGATTGTGATACGGAGACCCATTGAGGTGGACTATTTCCATTGACCGCCTGTTTTGTTGGGTTCTAAAGCTTCCAGACGAATCTTCATCCTGCAGCCAATCTTGCCTGTTGTACGTTGAGTTCTAACGCGATCTTCATCTGTCAGACCCCAGTTGCTCTGCGTACGACCGAACTTATCGCACTTGAAGTCTCTCTGCCAAATCTCCCTTGACCTGTTTTTCTTATGATGGGCCTTAGTCACGTCGACAACTTGCTTGCGGTTCCAGCTGTGAAGAGCAGCCTCTGTGAATCATAGACGATTTATGGCAGCGGAGATATCGAAAAGGTGACCGAAGACGGAGTTGTGTTTTTCGAGGAGGCCATTGCCTGGAAGGCAGTCCGTCGTTTTGAAAATGACTTTGTTCTTCAAAGCGTTAGCTATGCCAGAATTGCAACCGAAACTAGATGCTTGCATAAGACTTCAAAGTTAATAAATAGGAATTGAACGCTAACCGCTGCCACGTTTTTTTTTTACTAATTGTAAACATGTAATTTGGACGGGATTTTGTAGTTGCGGAAAATGGGCTGTCTATTTTTCGTTTTGAAAAAGAATCTGTAGTGACTATTTTTGTGAAAAGTATTTTTGGGTGTGACCAGTCGCATGGTTTTCACACCTCGATCTCCGTAGCCTCGATCTCCATAGATTTTCCCAGCTGAAAACCAACGCATTTAACCACTTTAAGTTCGCACACAAGCCGTTAAAAAGCAAAACCAATGTTTTGTCAGTCTAAACGTATATATTTGCTCATTTCTCCAGTGTCACGATGGAAGAGAATGGCACGGTCACGGCAGGGTCGTCGTGGTAGGATTCCTGAAGAGAATTGTGGTGAAGTGGCGACGCAGCATCCTAGCAAGATGTCAAAAAGCAGCTACATAGATTTACAACAGATAAAATAATAATCTAATGCACTGCACAATGGATCATGTTGATCGAGGCGAAGATTCCTTGGCCGAAACATCGCGTGCGATGCGTTGTAGGCTAACGAAGTGCGCCTCCAAGAACTGCCAAGCATCTGGCGAGCAATGTAGGGCACGCTACAAGAAGTTAACATGCCAAGAAGTTGATTTCACTTTATTATTGGATAAAGGAAGACACGCTGTGGCTGTCGATACACTTCTGCCACCTGTGGAGGCTAACCTAGCTCGGGAAATGAAAGCTTACATCGACACTAAGCTGATAGATACTCCTTCAACGATGGCACAGCTAGTTTTCTCCTTTCTATGTCAGGAAATCCGAGAGCAGAGGCTCCCAGGGCCAGGAGAACATCCTTAAAACACCAAGAAAATTATGCACCACTCAGACTGTACTACCAGTACCATAAACCTCTCTTTTTTAATCTTTGAACAATTAATAATATCGAATAGAATTTGACAGCACTCGCAGTGTGTACGGACACTGAAATTCTTTATCTTTATAGCCATTCGTTTATCACCCCATCAAAACTCATCAACCACAGTGCTTTTAACCAAGAGCATGCTAGCAAGGAGACAAGTCCGTTGGCTCCAACAGAGGTTCACTTCTAAAGATTTCACGCAACTCCCCTCTTCTCTAACATCGAACTATGCCTCGCGCACTGCCCTGGACGAAACTCGCTGTCGGCATGAACCAGGAAGACATCGACCTACTTCTGGAGTCATTCAAGATCTTCAAAATTGCTAAGAGTGACCATGTTCCATGCACTATCTGCACCAACGCGGTACCCCACAACATCAAAAAGCGCCTGTTACGTTGCGCGTGCAGCGAGTGTACGGCTGCAATGCCGTATGCTCGCTGCGAGTGGCGCGGCAAGCTGCTTAAGTGCGAGCAACAAGATCCGTTGGACCTCTTCTAGGTGGGCTCGCACGTGACCGCTAGCCGATCGCCACATCCACCCCGCATGACGCGATCAATGCAAGGGTTTGCTCACGAACGGCTGACCAAGACCTAAAACCGGTTCGAATCTGCACCGGAATAACGCAAAAGTTTGGGCTAGGCCCCGACACGTTGCTACCTCTAAAAATTGTGTAGCGTTTTGTCTACAACTACCTTACTAAAACGATTGGGACCAACGACTACCTCGACGACTTGCGGCGTATAGTACGCGAAACAGCCTTCACAGGCCAGGAGCAAGATTTCGTTGCATTTACATTAACGAAGAGAGCGGAGGAAGATGGGAGACCCTACGTTGGGTCGGGAGCTGATGCGAGCCCGTTTTTGGTGGGGTGTCATCGAAGACATTGCTGCGCCAGGCAAATCGATTTTTTGCGACTTTCGTCCTACATATGGACGCGACGTTCGAATTGAACCACGTTGACTACCCTGTGTTTGTCGTGGGCATTACAGACTGTTGCCGAACATTTATCTCTTTTTTCGGAGGCGCAAATGACCTCCGAAAGGTGTACACTCAAGTCTCTGACTGGTAAAAAAGTTACTATACGATTTGCAACGGGCGACGCAGACGACGCTCAATACAATACCGTTGTACGTGTACTGCGCGCTGATAGCGAAGTTGAAGTGCTTATGTGCTTTTATCATGTAGCTGCGAGAGTGCATGAGAAGACGAGGAAGCTTCACCATTCTCTCTACAGTGTAGTGACTAGAGGTGTGCATGAATTGCACTTTGGCGGCAGTGAGTTGGAGTATGAAGAATCCAAGACACAAATCTTGAAAGAATGGGCGCTGCACCCGGTCCTCACAAGCTTCTGGGAACACTTCAAGTGACAATGGCTAAAAAAACGGTCGATTCTGGAGGGCAGGTTTTCCATACTCCTCCGGTGTTTGCTGTGACGAATAGCCCCGTTGAAACGTTCAACGCGTCTCTCAAACGCGAATACACGCTGCGTGTAAGGATGGAAATGAGCTCCCTGCTCTGTCAGCTAATGGCTTGCTGCACACACGAAAGCACCACTTCAAGATTTTAAACAGACCATTTATTGATACGGACGAGTGCCCTGCACCAATGCAGACACGTTGGGGACACCCAGCATCAGCACATACGACGGGGGAGTCCAGCACCATCAGCATAGACGACGGGGGGAAGGCTGCCAGTACCACACACGACGGCGGCTGCAGCGCCCAGCAGTAGCGACATGGAAGCGGGTGTAGCCAACACGGAGAGATTTGGAAGATACCGTCCCTTCGTTCCTGTTAGAAATTCTGTTAGCATATTTGAAAGGATCGCGCGATCAGCCGGCCGCCTACTCTTGGGTACACCTGTGCTGCTCTTGCCTGGGTGTCCTGAGGACGATTTGGATGTTGCATGGCTCTTTTGTGAGAGTTTGTACCATTTCCTCCAGGTCCAGTGCCTGTGCTCGAAAAGGTACAGAATTATGTGAAAATCATGGAGAAAGAAGAACCAGGCGGACCGTATGGCCGCAGTTCTAGAGTTTTGCGTTTTCGGATGTACTAATTGGATGATGCTGGGCGAGATCGGAACTCGCTGCTGGTTCTTTGCCATTCGACAAAACAGAAGGTGTTGTTGGGCCCCGTTTAGGGACGGGCTCTGCTGCCAATCATACATGTATTAGAATTGGATGAATCAGTTGGAATTTAATTAAACGCTATATTGAAGTCCAACACAATCCTGATGTCGCAAGCATGTTAGATTTGGATAACACATATAATATTGTCAAGTACAAGTACCCTGGTTTCGTAATTGACTTCTCGGATTGCAGTGGGGGG